GAAGCAGGTCGTGTTCCTCCCGATGCGCTCGTTGATGGGCTCCATGAGGAAGGAGAAGCCGCTGAGGTGCATCGCCAGGGGAATGGCCGCGATGAGCTTCTCGGGCAGATTGAGAGAATAGGTGAGGTACACGCCTGTAGGTCTGAGACAGGTTCACGATGCCCACCTGGTAGAAAACCGGCTCCCAGAAGCCCAGTGCTTCCAGAGCAGCAGGCGCTGGGTGACGGCGGGGCCGGCAGGGGCTGTGCTGGCCAGGCTCCTCTGCGCGCGGCCAGCGCCTCTCCTGGGTGTCCGGGTGGAACAGCAGCGAGACCACGTCGCCGACACCCACCGCCAGCAGGGACAGGTTCGGAACATGGGCACGTCCTGGCCCCCCAGCTGGTCGCTGACGCTGATGTCCTGGGTGGGCCCTGCCCGCGACGAGCCTTGCTGGTGCAGCAGGAGCCAGGCGGCGCCGTAGACGGTGATGTTGGCCACCATGGTGAACGTATACCTGAGTGCACTGAGCTTCACCTTCTCATAGCAACCAAAAGATTCTTAACTGCTTTTAAACTTGCAGCAAGTGCCTTTCAAACCTTGTCCACCCTTTAGGATCCTACATGTGATTCTACAAACTAACCCTCCTGCCCTCAAATCCTCTTTCATTGCTGTAATTTTGCCCATGATCTTTTTGAGACATAACCTGACTCTGTTTTATCTCATTTTAATTCTGTTATTTCCAACTATGGATTAAAGATAATCTTTGTCTTCCTATTGCATTAGCCAGTTTCAGTCTGTTAGATTTCTTTTTTTTTTTTTAATTAATTAATTGATTTATTCATTTTGAGACTCTGTAGATCAGGCTGGAGTGCAGTGGCATGATCTCGGCTCACTGCAACCTCTGCCTCCTGGGCTCAAACAATTCTCATACCCTAGCCTCTGAATAGCTAGGATTAGAGGTATGTGCCACCACGCCAGGCTAATTTTTTTTGTATTTTTCGTAGAGATGGAGTTTCACCATGTTGGCCAGACTGGTCTCGAACTCCTAACCTCAAGTGATCTGCCTGCTTCGGCCTCCCAAAGCACTGGGATTATAAGGGTAAGCCACTGCCTGGCCTGGTCTGCTAGATTTCTTAATTTCAGAAGGAAATTGTAGCTATGTGGAAGAGAACCCAAGGAGACATTCGACAGTTCTGAAATATTAAAAACAAATATGATTAACCCTGCCTTGAAAGATTCTATGTAATCGAAGTTTGGTTCAATCTGTCTTTTTTTCCTGTGGCTTCCTTAGTTGTCTTACCCCAGCTTCCCAGAATTTTTTCTCCAGCTAAATTCCCCTTGCTGTCCTTTGACAGCTGTTTTGAACTGTTCCCAGGGGAGTCAGCCAGGGAAAATCTGAAATCTATATTAAATTCAGGCGAGGGGCTGACATTCATTTAATGCTCTCGGGTATCCTGGCTCCTAGGTCATTCACATCAAGGAGAGAAACTGGTCTATCCACTTCCATTCTGGCCCCTAATCCTTCTGGAGACCAAAGCCAGGGTGCTTGATTTGCAGTGCAAATCTGATGTCATTTCTGTGCTTTCAACGCTTTAGCATGTGTATTTCATTTTAAAAAACTTTTTATGCACAGATCTTCAGTACAGTTTGATGAGTTTTGATAATTGGATATACCTGTGAAACCACCACCCTAAACAATGTAATAGACTATCCCATCATCTCAGAAAGTTCTCTTGCTCCCCATTTCCAGCCATTTCAACCTCTTCTTACCTCCAACCCCAGAGGCAACCATTTCTGATTTTTGTCATCATAGCTTAGTTTTGTCTATTTTTTGATTTCATACAAATATAGTCCTACAAGATAGATTTTTTTTGTGCCATGCTAATTTTACTGTACATAATCTTTCTGAGATTCTCCTGTGGTAGTGTGTGATCAGTAGGCTGTTCCTTTTCAATGCTGAGTGTGAATGCCGTATGAATATATGGCTTTTTTTTTTTTTTTTTTTTTTTTTTTTTTTTGAGACAGAGTCTCACTCTGTCACCCAGGTAACTAGGCTAGAGTGCAGTGGCGCGTATCTGGGTTCATTGCAACCTCTGCCTCCTGGGTTCAAGCTATTCTCCTGCCTCAGCCTCCCAAGTAGCTGAGATTACAGGCATGTACCACCACAACCAGCTAATTTTTGTATTTTTAGTAAAGACAGGGTTTTACCATGTTGACAGGGTGGTCTTGAACAGCTGACCTCAGGTGATGTGCCCACCTCAGCCTCCCAAAGTGCGGGGATTTCAGGCATGAGTCACTGTGCCTGGCCTATAGCAATTTATTTATCCACTCTCCTGTTGATTGACATTTGGGTTGGTTCCAGCTTAGAGCTATTTTAAGTCTGCTATGAATATTTGTCTTCAAGTCCTTTGTGAATATAAGTTTTCATTTCTCTCCGGTAATTGCCTATGAGTAGACTCACCAGATCATAGAGCCTTTGAAAGTCTAAAGACCCATTGTTTTTAGGATGAAGACCCAAACCTAAAGGTCCTGCATGGTTCTGACTGCTTCTCTGGAGACATCCTGCATGCTTGCCCCTTCCCTTAACTCTGAACTTCAGCCTCTATGTTCTTCCCTCTGCCCGAAACATGCTTCTTTGTTTCTCTTCCTGCTAACCTTGACTCACCCTTCAGATGTAAACGCTGACAACATTAAGATAAAGACCCGTATTACAGGCATTCCCAACTCTGTGTTCTTGATGCCCTAGTACTTACCAAGACTATGGCTCTATATTGACATGTATGAATGTTTGTTTAATGTTTGCTTCTCGTGCAGCAAGCGTCACTCGGGCAGATGTGTTTGTTTTATTCACACAGTGCCTAGCCTAGCTTCTGACAGATAGTAAGCACTCAACAACCCTTGTTGGATGCATAAATAATGACTGCTCTATACCCCACTGTGGATTTTCTTCTCTACTTTGGTAAAGTCCCATTTGGTCACCCAGAGAAGAAACCCTCAGTGTTCTCATCATGGATTTCTTCATGACCTGGACACAGCAAGAGGGGAAATGATCAGGCAATCAGTGACATTCAGGCTGCCTGGCTTCCAGGAAAGAGAAAATCTTAATCTTCAATCTTGATCATTCTTGTCCTAAACAGACCATTATGTAAACCAAATTCCTGCTAAAAGGCTTCTGATCCAAATAAGACAACAAGGCAATGCACTTAGCAAATATTTCACCTTGAAGGAGGCCAAGACATTTGCTCCTGGTGTTTTTTCCCCTTGGTTTATCTTCTGGAACACCGGGTGCTGGGGGCATTCTTAAGACGGCACTGTGTTTCTTGGAAAGTGGGACTGTTTTTTGGTAGAAAGTTGTTCCGGAGGCCAGGCGTGGTGACTCACTCCTATAATCCTAGCACTTTGAGAGGCCAAGGCAGGCGGATCACCTGAGGCTAGGAGTTCAAGACCAGCCTGGCTAACATGGTAAAACCCGGTTTCTACTAAAGATACAAAAAAATTAGCTGGACATTGTGGTGGGCACCTGTAATCCCAGCTACTTGGCTGGCTGAGGCAGGAGAATGGCTTCAACCCTGAGAGGCGGAGGTGGCAGTGAGCTGAGAATGTGCCATTGCACTCTAGCCTGAGTGACAAGAGTGAAACTCCATCTCAAAAAAAAAGAAAGTTGTTCCAGAAAAAAATTAGGATCCCTAATGCTCTTCCATCAATAAAATTTGTTTCCTACATGGAAATGCACCACCATGGGCCATTTTTACTCTCTGAGTGGCCACAGTGAAGGTGCTGAGTTGAAAGGCACATTTAACAACATGCTGTTACTGTAAGCAAGGCTACTGAAGTGTTTTGCTATGCATTCCCCCCAAAATCCCAATACACGAAGTAAGGAAGATGATTAATATAATCTCACATACCTTCATATGACTCTGTCTTTCTCATGGATAATTTTCTCCTCAGGTGGGCTTTTTGTCTGTCTCCAGTGATAATAATGAGAATCACTTGAACCTGGGAGGTGGAGGTTGCAGTGAGCTGAGATCACACCAGTGCACAGTTCAGCCTGGGCAACAGAGGGAGACTCTGTCTCAAAAAAAAAAAAAAAAAAAAAAAAAAAAAAAAGAACTTAAATTTCTTGAAAGGTATGCACGCTTTCCATTGTGATACTGTCAAAATGGCCTCAGAGAAGTTGTTGATGTCTGTGGGCCCACAATAATATACAAGTGCTCTCTTATCCCTCAACAAAACTGAGTGAGATTCTTTCTTAATCCCAGCAAACCTGCTGGGTAAAAAATAGCTTGTTGTCAATTTTATTTACTATTTTTATCTATTTTTATTAGTAGCTAGATGGCTAATTTTATGTGTAATTTGGCCAGGCTCTAGTACCCAGTTTTTGGTCAAACACCAGTCTAGATGTTGCTGTGATGGTTTTTTTTGTTTGTTTGTTTTTTGTTTTTTTAGATGAGACTATTATTTAGGCTGGGTACGGTGGCTCATGCCTGTAATCCCAGCACTTTGGGAGGCCTAGGGGAGAGGATTGCTTGAGTCCAGAAGTTCAAGATCAGCCTGGGTGACATGACAAAACCTTGTCTCTACAAAAAGAAAAGAAAAGAAAATTAGCCAGCATGGTGGTGTGTACTTGTAGTCCCAGCTACTTGGGAGGCTGAAGTGGGAGGATGGCTTGAGCCCGGGAGGTTGAATCGGTAGTGAGCCATAATCACACTACTGTGCTCCAGTCTGGGCAACACAGTGAGACCCTGTCTCAAACAAAACAAAACAGCATTTAAATCAGTAGACTTTGAGTAAAGCAGATTACCTCCATAATGTTGGTAGGTTTTGTGCTCCTTATGAGACTCTAATACCTAATGATCTGAGGTGGAACAGTTTCATCCCAAAACCATCCCCCAACCCTGGTCTGCAGGAAAATTGTGTTTCATGAAACTGGTCCCTGGTGCCCAAAAAGTTGGGAACCCCTGTCCTGGAAGAACTCATGTTGGGATTAAGAGTGAATCCACCCTCATCCATGTGTCCTCCACATGAGGGATGACCTCTTGCTCCTCCACTACCTTTTCTTCTCCATCTCAGATTTCCTGGAGGGTCTCTGTTTCTTGAAGGAGGTGGTGGTCTCCACCTACCACCACTTTCAAAAGATGGTTCATTGGCTTGCTCTGCTTGCTTTTCCATCCAAAGACTTTCCAGTCATATCTCTGGCAGCATTCTTAGCATCTGCAGGGCTCTCAAAAGTAATGAGTGCAAAGCCTCTGGACACTTGTTTTCCCCATCCTTCATCAGAAAACGTTCACTACGAGGCCATATTTCCCAAATACTGCTTTAAGAGCCTTTTCACTGGGTTCTGTATTAAGGCCACCTGTGAACAGCTTGCCAGGTTGATCTACTTCCACAATTTTTCTCCTTTTCCAGATTTTTGAGATTTCACCTTTATGCTCCCTTGGGTCACCACTAGCTAAACTAACTTAAATTTCTCTTTATATATAAGTACACATACACACACACACACACACACACACACACACACACACACACACCCTATGGGTTCTGTTTCTCTGGAGAACCTTCTCTAATACAATTAGTGAGGTTACCTAGGTCAAATGTTTATTGGTCATCTGTATTTCATTTTATCTTATTCCCTTCCCACTTCCCTTTCCTCTTTCCTCCTCCTCCTCCTCCTCCTCCTCCTCCTCTCTTCTTTTTCCTTTTGTTCTTTGCCCAGATGTTTTTTAGATCCTCTGTGTGAACAGGGGTCCCTCAAAGCGAGGGGCACTAGCCTATGTTCCCTAATTTGCTGAGAGTAAAGAGCCTTTTTGACTGGGGACTTGTACTACCAGTGAGATTGTGCAAATAAATACATTAAGTAAATAAAGCTAAGTAATAGAGAAGGCTGCTTAGTTACGGGAACTTACTTTCAAAACCAGTTCCTTCTTCATTTATCAGTTAACAGCTGAATGCAGAATTTCCTGTTTTTTCTTCCTTTTCTTCATAGCAAGTGATGTCACCACAGCTACCTAGAAGAATGATTTCCCACAGTGACGCAGGTTCTGTGATGTCATTGGCATCACAAAAGCCAGCAAGGAAATTTGCTATTGGTATGTGTTTACTGAAATTACTAAGTAAATTATTTTTAAGCTTTCTGGGAAAGGAACTCTTCAGTTAAAGTAAACACATTTAAGAAATTGTTGTTATATACAAAGAAATCTGTCCTTTATCTTCCAGGGAGAGAATGCCTGCAACCTCAAGGAACTAAACAGACCTGGTAAAAGAGAGAGAGTTCTACTCTGGGGATATTTAGTGGACTAAGTCTCTGTGCCAGTGGTCCCCAACCTTTTTTGGCACCAGGGATCTGCTTCATTGAAGATAATTTTTCCACAGACTGGGGTGGGGGATGGTTTTGGGATGAAACTGCTTCACCTCAGATCATCACACATAATCTAATTAGTTGGATTCTCATAAGGAGCGGGCAACCTAGATCCCTCACATGTGCAGTTTGCGCCAGAATCTAGTGCTGCCACTGAGCTGATGGGAAGCCACACTCAGGTGGTAATGATCACTCATCTGCTGCTCACTTCCTGCTGTGTGGTCTGGATCCTGCAGGACATGGATTGGTACTGGTCCACAGCCCGGGGGTTAGGGACCCCTGATCTATGCCAAAATGGTAACTATCTTCAGATTGGCTAGGCTGGTAACTGGACTATTGTTCAAGCAACCAGACCTGTCCTGATAAAGCTTGGAAGTGTCTCGCTTTCTCTATCCAAAGTCAGATCTCCCAAACAGGATCTCCCTTCCCTTTAATGGAAGTAAAAGTGCTAGTTCTGACTGCTGTAACAAATTACCACAGACTGGGTGGCTCAAAACCCCAGAAATTTATTCTCTGACAGTTCTGAGGCCAAAAGTTCAAATACAAGGTGTCGGCAGGACTGGCTCCCTCTGCAGTATGAAGGGAGAGTGTGTTCCACGCCTGGCTCCTGTCTTCTGGAGGCTGCTGCCATCCTTGGCATTCCTTGGCTCGTAGGCTCATCCCTCTGATCTCTACCTCCATCTGCATGGCCCCTTCTCCATGTGTCTTCTCCCTTCTCTTCATGTCTCTTCTTCTTCTCTTTGAGTCAACATCTTGCTCTGTTGCCCAGGCTGAAGTGCAATGGCACTATCATGGCTTATTGCAGCCTTGACCTTCCAGGCTCAGCTGATCCTCCTGCCTCAGACCCCGAGTAGCTAGGACCACAGGCATGTGCCACAATGCCCTGCTGAGTTTTCAATTTTTAGTAGCGATGGGGGCCTCACTATGTTATCCAGGCTGGTCTTGAACTCCTGGGCTCAAGCAATCTTCCTGCCTAGGCCTTGCAAAGTGCTGCGATTATAGGTGTGAGCTACTATGCCTGGTCATGTCTTTTCTTTTTTGAAATAAAGTCTTGCTCTGTTGCCCAGGCTGGAGTGCAGTGGCATGATCTTGGCTCACTGCAACCTCTGCTCCTGGGTTCCAGCAATTCTCCTGCCTCAGCCTCCCTAGTACTTGGGATTCAGGCATGTGCCACCATACTCGGCTAATTTTTTTGTATTTATTTCTAGTAAAGACAGGGTTTCACCATGTTGGCCAGGCTGGTCTCGAACTCCTGAACTCGTGATTTGCCCACCTCGGCTATGTCTTTTCTTTTATAGTGATACTTCCCATTGGATGTAGGGCCCACTCTAACCAAGTTGTTAGGTCATATTCTCAGGTGAAAGGGGTTAGGGTACGAACATATCTTTTTATTCCACAAGTTAACCCAATACAGTGGATAAGGCTTTATGACCATCTGGCCCCATCTTCTCCCAGAGGTGATGGTGACTCTTGAGAGCGGAGTCTTTCAAGTGGTAGCATGTGGAATCTTCATAAGGTTCATTCATTCATTACTGTAATGGGCTGAATTGTGTTCTCCCACTGCTCTCAAAGTCATACCTTGAAGCCCTAACTCAACACTCAGTGCCTCAGAATGTGACTGTATTTGGCGGTGGGGTCTGTATTAGTCCATTTCTATGCTGCTGATAAAGACACACCCAAGACTGCATAATTTATAAAGAAAAAGAGTTTTAGTGGACTCACAGTTCCATGTTGCTGGGGAGGCCTCACAGTCACAGGGGAAGGTGAAAAGCACACTTCACTCGGCAACAGACAAGAGAGAATGAGAACCAAGTGAAAGGGGTTTCCCCTTATAAAACCATCAGATCTCGTGAGACTTACTACCACGAGAACAGTATGGAGGAATTGCCCCCACAATTCAATTACCTCCCACCATGTCCCTCCCACAACAGGTAGGAATTATGGGAGCTCCAATTCAAGATGAGAGTCGGGTGGGGACACAGCTGAACCATATCGGGGTCTTTAAACTGGTATTAAGGTTAAATGAGGTCACTGGGGTGGGCCCTGATGCAACGTGACTGGTGTCCCTATAAGAAGGGGAGATAAGGACACGGGAAAAGGCAGCCACCTCCAAACCAAGGAGAGAGAACTCAGAGGAAATCATCTCTGCCAACAACATGATCTCAGACTTCTAGCCTCCAGGACTATGACAAAGTATATTTCTGTTGTTGAAAACACTCAGTCTGTGGTACTTTGTTACGGCAGCCCTTGGAAACTAGTGCAGTTACTAAGAGCCCACTCTCTGCCACATCTTCCACAAGGCAGAGGCACGTCCTGACTGGGCACTGGCTGTCAGTCTTAAGAGAATTACTATTTTAGCGTAGTGAGACCATGAAGTACCTTCAGAGCAGGGCTATTCATCTCCTACTAACATCTCAGTGATACGGCTTATTATTCAAAAGATTTCGGTGTAAACAGGAGTTTATCCTGTCTTCAAGTATAAAAAGCTATAGTAAACAGCTGATTTCTGTAAGTATAATGAGGAAGATGCCATAGAAACCGTGAAAGGGTTCAGTGAAACTAGAGGAGTCTACCTGGTCTTAGACGATGTGACATTTAAGCTGGGATCAAACATGAATAAATCATGGTTGAATCAGGAGGAATGTTCCAGTCAGGGAAAAGTAAGTTAAAAGTCTGAAGAAAGCCTGGGCAACATGGTGAAACTCTATCTCTAGGAAAACTACAACAAATTAGCTGGGCGTGGTGGCATGCCTGTTGTTGCAGCCACTAAGGAGGCTGAAGTGGTAGGATTAAGACCGGGAGGTGGGGAGTGCACTGGGCTGCGATTGCACCACCGCACTCCATCCTGGGTGACTGAGTGAGACCCTGTCTCAAAAAAAAAAAAAAAAAAAAAAAAAAAGATCTAAAGCAGGAAAACATTCAAAAACCTGGAGAAAGCTGGGGAGGTAGGCTGGGCCGTACTGTAAAAGGACAGTAAGAAGACCTCAAAGGGTTTAGGGCAGGGGTGCCCTTATTTGGTTTTGGAAAGATCACTCTGACTGCAGCGTGGAGCCGGAGTTAGATAGGAGAAGACTAGAACCAGGAGACTCAGTGAGGAGGCCGTCCCAAGGGTCTGTGAAGGGGGATGGTGCGTGGGGTAAGAGATTGAGTGCAGATGGAGAGAAATAGGAGAATTAGAAAAATATTTAGGAAGTTGAAAAAACCCACATTTCCTCATTGGTTCAGTGTAGAAGGGTTGAGGGAGAGGAAGGAGTTAAGTATGAATTGGATAATTTGCTGGGTAATGAAGTCATTTACTTTGGGGAATATTGGGGATGCTTATGGGGGAAGGGATTATATTTATCAGGACTTCCATGGTTGCAAGTGACAGAAAACGAATTCAAATAATTTAAGGATAAAGGACTGATGCAAAGAAAACAGACCTACTCTACCCTCTTTATTTCTCTCTTTTTAAAATTGTCACTTCTCTTGGTGTACTGGCCTCATTCCTGTTGCAGACCTGCTTCCTCCAGGCAATGGGGAGAAGGTGGTGGTGCTACAACGTCACGTTTACGTCTTCCCAGCTCAGGGACTCCAGGAGAGAGAGCTTTCCCCCACATCATCTTAGTCTGAATTTCACTGTACAAAGTTTAGCCCCGTCCACCCAATCTTAACATTTCTGAAATTAAAAGCATCTTACAATAGATGGCATCTTCCTTGTTTGTTTTCCCAGTGGCAGTATTATTTCTTAGTGATGTATAAAATAATAGTGTTTCTTACTGTAATGGAGTCTTAGATATAATGAAATCCATATAAAATTATAGAGAAGGGCTCTAATTGGTTTGGTGTAGTCATTGACTGTCCCTGGGCCAATCATGGTGACCCAAGAGATAGGGGAATATGATGAGCAGTACTTGGATACAGGCCCACCCTTGTGGCCAGTGTTATAGGGTGCTATGACTGAAATCCCATCTGAACTACACTTAGTGGGGAGTGGTGGTGGCTGCAAACAACAGCAATACTGCTGGAAACACTTGATGCTGGTCAGTCCCAAACACGTGAGGAAGAGTGCCTGAGAAAACAGTGAGTTCAATGTAGACTGGTAGTTAAACTGGCTGGTGAGATACTGTATTAGTCTGTTCTCACACTGCTATAAATAATTACCTGAGACTGGGTTATTGATTGATTGATTGATAGATTTTGAGACAGTCTTGCTCTATCACCCAGGCTGGAGTGCAGTGGCACGATCTTGGCTCACTGAAGCCTCTGCCTCCTGGCTTCAAGGGATTCTTAGGCCTCAGCCTCCAGAGTAGCTGGGACTACAGGCGTATATCACCATTCCCAGCTAATTTTTGTATTTTTATTAGAGACAGAGTCTCACCATGTTGCCCAGGCTGGTCTTGAACACTTGACCTCAGGTGATCCACCTGCCACAGCCTCCCAAAGTGCTGGGATTACAGGCGTGAGCCACTGTGCCCAGCGGAGACTAGGTACTTTATAAAGAAAAGAGGTTTAATTGACTCACAGTTCCACAGGATGTACAGGAAGTATGTCTGGAAAAGCCTCAGCAAACTTACAATCATGGCAGAAGGTGAAAGGGAAGCAGGCATGTCTGAGAAGGAAGAAGAGAGAGAGAAGGGGGAAGTGCCACATGCTTATGAACAACCAGATCTTGTAAGAACTCACTCATGAGAACAAAAAGGGGGAAATCTGCCCTCGTGATCCAATCACCTCCTATCAGGCCCCCCTCTT